TTTTTTCACATTTGCAAAAATTACGAAAAGTTTAAATATAGAGGATCACCTAAAATTACAGCTATTAAGGAAATGTTCCACCCAATATTGTTACTAAATAAATCCGTCTCGTAATAAATAATTGGAGTGGATTGACCACACAGACCAGACATGGTTAACTGCCAAAAATTGTGGTTTGTAAAAAAAAAATTATAAAAATCTCACAACTAGAAATAAGTTTGAGTTTGACCAGATTACGTGAAATACATAAGTCACATGTTAGATAATTTGAGTTATTTAAACTTTAAATTGTTTTTACACACTGCTGTAATACCTTTGCTAACTCTTTAATTTTTAGGATTATTTTCATAAATTATTATCGACGTGAATAGTTATCGAATTGAATTGAAGAATTGTTAACTTGCAAGATTTTTATATATTTACTCCCCAAAAATTCTTAACTGAAATTCATAACTACAAAATAATGCTTTTTTTTATTTAATGATTAATTAAATAGCATTTTCTTTTGATTAAATATAATTTTTCCCAGGTTGAATTAATTGTTTTTTTGTCATCAATGTAAAAATAAATAGGCTTGAGACTTAAAAAATTTAGAAGATATCACCGAATAAATCGCAGAAAAAAGAGCTAAGGAAAATAGACACGTTTTAATATGACAAGATTTATGATCGGATTATGATAATGATCATTTCTTCTACTTATCATTGCACACTTATCTAAATGACTAGCAAGTTCCCAGTCGTATTATCATTATGCTTAATATTATTAATAGTATCAAAATTGCATGAGACGTGCGAATTTCCTTCCACCTCGTTTGTAAACTAGACAATTTTCATAAATACACGCACAATTACCTAATGAGGCTAAGGCTCCGATTTAAATTCCACCTCAATAAATAAAACCCCAATTAAGACTTAACGACTAATGAAGAGATCATCATTAAAACTGCAACCTTGTCAAATCAACGTAACAATTTCGTTTTATTCTCTTGATTTGACGTGACCAATCAAAATCGCACAATAGCCGGAATGGAGACCCAGTTTAAGATATCCTTTACAAATTAAGTAGCTCAATAATCAAAGAAGTGGCAAATTTACACCGTTCACAATAATACGAGTGTCACAAGTAATAAATAAGTAACAGCGTCATTCATAATGCTAAATAATAAACCGTTGTGAACGAAAAGTAACAATGGAGTGAAACCAAATGAGATGTCGCCTTGCGCAATTAACGTCCAAAAACCGTCAAAACATAAAAATTTCGACATTTTCGACCTTTGACCTCGTCGATCAGGTCATCTTTGGTCGAAACTATCCATTTTTGCAATACCCGCCTCAAACTAGGTTTGAAAGGGTCGAAACCGACAAAAAATAAAAATTTCGACATTTTCGACCTCGTCGACACGGTCACCAGGTCATCTTTGGTCGAAATGACATCGATTTCTTCAATTCCCGCCTTAAACTGCTTGTAAAACAATCGAAACTAAAAATCCGACATTTGTTACCGTATAACTGTGACCTTTTGACCTACAATACTCATCTTCGAGCTTAATTTCTTCAAAAAATTAGAAACATATTGGTGAAGACCGCATGTCGAAATGTTCTAAAATTATCATCGACATGGAGAGACAGACAGACAGACAAGGTTTCCTATAAAAGGGTTTCCCCCTACAATACATCCTTAATAAGGGAGCTCGTTAACTAACTCATCCTTCGCTGGTGGTGGCGTGGCGATGATGAGGAGGAAAGTCAAGCCGTATTTGAAGACGTGTCACCCAAGCCTATTCAGCTTTCGAAGACGCATTCATTTAATGTCGCCATGCAATGCATTCGGACTTATTCTTCTATTTAACAGAGAAGAATTGATGACCAAAAGTGACAGTAACATAGATAGAAAATAAATGGTGGTGACCATCTTTTTTACCGACCAGCTTTCACAAGGGGCCATCCACATGCATGAATAATAACAGAGTGACAATTGGTAATCAAAGAAATGGCGATGATTACTTAGGTTGCTTTATTAAGAAGTTTGTAGTAACAGGTTCATAAGTGTTTTTTATTTATGATAGATAACTCAAAATAGTGTGAGAGGAAGGCTTTACAGACTGAATTTCAAATAAAAACTTTAATTTTTTCCAAAAATTTCAGGAATATTAGTCCAAAAAATAGTGGTCATTAATATGTCATAAGTTTTTGAGTGTGAAGAAATGAAGTAAAAGGAACATTAGACTTTCAAATTTTGTGATTAGTAATATTCTCAGGAATTGATTGACTTTTGAGTCATTTTTAATTTTCCAGGTAGTTTGAATAATATTTTTAAAAGCAGGTTCTGTTTAATGATGGGAGTAATTGTGCATTTTTTTGCAAAATATACAAATTATAATAATTTTATTTTTTTATTTTAAGTATTAATGGGATGGAGGGTACAAATTTTCTCGATTAGTGAATTCATGTAATTTATGAAGGTGCCTAGGTATTGATTGATTTTAAAGGGTTTGCAAATTTTTACATTTTCAATTTGCAGATTCAGTTTAATGATGTGCAAAACTTGGATAAATAACATAATTTTCGAAAAGCGTAAATCATAGGGTAGAAAATCGGTGAAAAAATGTTAACAAAAAAACTTTTAAGTTTCTTCTACAAACCCGTACTTTTTTTTACAGTAATTTGAAACCACTCGGAGTCATCGTAAAGAAAACACGTAAAAAAATTAGCCAACATCCTCCGGCTACTTTTAAAAAACTCGGCTTACTTGTCAACCACTTAACTAGACGCTAGTCCAAATATTGGCCAATATTCTTCTCTTAACAAGCCTACTCTACCCGTCACGGTAATAATACTTTACATTTATTAAGTAAGTGGGAAGACCTTCCTTATATTCATTGTCTGTCTGTCTGTCCGTCCGTCTGAATATATTCTGAATAAGGCCATGTGCTTTTCACCATTTGACAACACATCCGAGAGCTAGATGTAAGTTTTTTAACGCTGCGACGAGATCCTGACAGGGTGAAAAAAAGGTCACAAAAATACGAAATACGTCGTGCAACCTATCATTTTGAAGATATTTCAGGATGGAATTTAGCCAAACCAAAAGATTCTGAATTTTAAGGTCACAGTGAGGTCATAGAATGGTCAAAATGTGCTTAGGACATGCAACTTGCAAAAACCTTGTCTTCATGTCTGTATTGATATTTGCAAATATTTTGCAAATATCAATTAAATTTTGCAATCAAAGCTCTGGGACATAATAGTGCAATGAGATTGACATACCATAACATAAATATGATCCGACTTGGTTCACAAATACTTTTGCAAATTTTTGCGACCTTTCGCCGCGGTCATAAAAAATTCGTGACATTCTAAAAACAACACATGGCATACGGAGCATCAAAATAAAGCTATTTCAAAGAACCCTCTTTGGAAACGTACTTTAGTCAATTATTCAACAACGGATTATTACATATGTATTCGGTTTCACCACTTTTTTATACCCCGTTTTTTACCAGAGGTTATTATTTTAAGCGTTTGTTCACGAAGACGGAATAACAAACAAGAAGACGTCGATGATGAGCATACAGTGGGATCATTATTCACTTCATGGCTTTATTTATTTACGAGACAGGTCGGTCCGTAGTACATCGTCACATTAGGACACGAAACGGTAGTGTAACGGTAAACGTGGGGGTACAGGTGTTACTTTATTTGTATTCAGTGGCCGCGGAAGCCGTGGGGACATCTGGGGACATTAACATTGTAGGATGGGGAGCGAGGGGTTTGTATAACATGGGCAGATGATGGGGACATCGAACAACCGTGGGGACATTGCCCCTCTGTCCACACTCTTCCGCGGCCACTGTCATAGTTTGGGGGCAGTGTCAAGACTTGCTTTGTGTCTAATTAGCGATGTCGATGGGAGCAGAAGAAAAAACCTGTCCGGGTGGAGTGCACTGATTGGAAGGGTAATTAAATTAAGATCAATTGGAAGGTGAGATGCATACGTAAACTTTTGAACTAGTGAATAATTTTAACTTTGCAATTTGTTTTGATAAGTTGAACTTGTGAAATTCGGGCGGATTCGAAAATTTGAAGATGATGAGATGATTCGATATGGGAAAGTTTTTTCGTTAATTATTTTGTAAAAACAATTTACTAAATGTAAATCGCACTTATACAAAAAATATGTATTTAAAATATGTATACATATTTTAATATTATTTAAATAAATTAAAAAGTTGCTTATTATATACAAATAAAATAAGTTTAAAGTTTGTATAAATAAAATCCAATTAATCCAATTAAAAAGTTGCTAAAATTATACCTAAGTTTAATTGGATTTTATTTATTTACAAAATTCCCAAATTGGCGTTAAACTTTGTGATTTCTTGAATTACATATGACTATGGTTCAAATCCATACAATATTCTCAAAAAATTTAAAATATTTCAAAACAAGAGACAATTTTGTCAACGAAAATTAAATTCTTAATAGTAAAAAAAATTAATGCCATCCTAGCAGCAGAAAATAATTATTAATTCTACCACGTATGCACACAAATGTAAATATGCACCGATAACACAAATTGCTAATTCCATCCTGCCAAATAACACAATTCACACATGTACACACATGTGTAAATCTCCCGATCTTATCTGACCCCACGAGATACTTGTCAATTTCACATGCATGAAATTATTCCGTACTCACTTTCATACATGAATTCTCATTTAGAGATTAGAATCAGTGGTGATATGTGCACATACAGTGGCCGCGGAAGCTTGAGGGGACAGAGGGACAATGTCCCCACGGTTATTTGATGTCCCCATCATCTCCCCATCTTATATAAACTCCTCCCTCCCCCCATCCTACAATGTTAATGTCCCCACATGTCCCCACAGCTTCCGCGGCCACTGTGCAACGTGTGCAACGAGAGCAGGTAGTATAGTTAGTTAGTTAATTAGCTTCATGTGCGTTCCCTAAATAGTTTGTGCTAATAATAAAAACCAAGTGAAAATTTCTATCGTCACAAATATGCATGCACTTCAAGAAGAGCAAATCTATTTGAAAAATGTGTTCGTTCGTTCGTACAGCGTTATTAAAATTTGAGGAGCAGTTTGCATAATAATTTGTGATTATATTACATTCACGTGGACTGGTGTAGTAGCAACAAAAAACGGGAATAATGTGTTATTTGCATTCCAAAGTCAGTCAGTAAAAGCACGCACACTTAAGACTCGAACTTTTTTTTACAGTTTTCATGATCTCTCGCTCGACTAGTGATACGAAAATACATCACAAACTGAGTAAGACGACTATGTTGCATGTGATGCTGGACAAAAAATGGATTTGCATGCACTGAATGTGAGTGTAATTGCATCTTCCGCATCTCATCCTCCACCTCCACCTCGACTTAAAGAAGAAGAAGACAAAAAAAGAAGTTCTTCTTAAGAGGACGGAACGGAACGGATTGGAAAAAATGAAGATGAAGATCGTCATCGTGACGATGATGATGATGATTTGACACACGTGTCCAATTTTGGGGTGAAGAAGAAGAGTGTTACAGTTTAATGGTGAGAGGGTACAAATAATTATAATGGGTGTTTTTTATTTGCAGAGGATATAACGCCGAATGGGAGATTTTTGGGTAAATTATGAGCTAAAACCATGTATATAGATTTGATAGATTTTGGATGGAAATTTTTGAGAAATTTTGGAAAATTTGAAAACTATGATTTTGTATTTTTCATAGGAGGATACAGTTTAACGGTGAGGGTACAAATAATAATGGGTGTTTTTTTATTTGCAGAGGATATAACGCCGAATATGGGATTTTTGGGTAAATTATGACCCAAAAACATAAAGATTTGATTTCATCTTGTTCAAAAATGTTGTGAAATTTTGGAAAACTTGAAAAATATGATTTTATATTTTCATGGGAAAACTCAGACTCCTAGTTTAAATAACTCGTAAGAATGGCGTAATAAAGTTTCATTTAAACTTTATTACAAGTATTAGATAATTGAAATTATATTTAAATTTTAAGCTGGAAAAATAATTGTACTTATTTTGTTTTTTCTTGTAGTGGATAACGCCGAATATGAGATTTTTGGGTAAATTATGATCTAAAAACATATAAAGATATGTCAGGTTTTTGGTCAAAAATGTTGGCAAATTTTGGAAAATTTGAAAACTACTATTTTCTATTTTTAATGGGAGGACTTGGGACTTCTCAGTTTAAAGTGCTCGTAGCTGTGGCGTAACAATGTGTCATTTAAACTTGATTACAACTCTTAATTGAAATTCTGCTTAAATTTTAAGTCTGAAAAATTATACTTATTTGATTAAATTGAAGTCAACAATTTGATTACATTTCAAATCGCAGACGAGTTAAGACAAAATATTTTAAATGTAATTAATTAATTTTAAGTTTAATTCAATCATACTCAAATATGACCTATCATATTTTTCGATAGCATATGCACAGGTCTGAAAATTGATTATCGCCCTTAAACTTACTCAAGAATATGAATTAGCCTAAATTATTATTTTCTTTACTGATAAAAAAATGATCAGCTTATATAATCCAATTTAACTGGATATCTGACTTTCAATTCTTTTCCATAGCTTTTTTCTCTACTTGCATATCCTTCACGGCTGAGATTTAATCACGCGTCGAGAATGAAACTCGTGAATGCAAATATGAATTTGGAACATAAATAAAGGAAAACTTATAAAATTTTCTAATTTTATGAATCCTATAAAAAATAATTGAAATAAAAATTAAAAAAGTTTACCTCTCAAGTTTCACCGTTGCTTATAAAATATTTATATCCAATTCCAGGAATATTCTCAAATTAAAAAATAAACTTTTCCAATTTCACACCGTTTATTACACAAACAAAAAATTGTAAAATTTCACTCCTCAAAAATTCATAACAATTAAACCGAAACTGATCAAATCATATCAGAAAAAAGTTGGCAAGTATAGCGAAGAAACACAAAAGATTTCCAATCAGCACCAATTTCCAACCACGTCTAATCCGTGTACATCGGTCTCGTCAATGTAAAACTGCACCACGACGAATTTCCTCCATCCATGCACTTTAGGAAAGTAGAGTCGCTTTACTTACTACACAAATTTTGCTTGTGGATGTTGTCGACGTGCAGATTTAAAAGGTACTGACGCCGCAGGATCAAGTCGAGAGAATCTGTATCTTCTTTTCCTTTCCTCGTTTGGCTACTTTTTTGTGGAGGATAATACAGACGTGCAGGGGCCGCGGAAGGTGTGGGGACATCTGGGGACGTTAACATTGTAGGATGGGGGAGGGAGGGGTTTATATAAGATGGGGAGATGATGCGGACATCGAACACATTGTTCCTCTGTGTCCACACCCTTCCGCGGCTAATGGCTACAATATAAACCTACACCCAGTGGCCGCGGAAGCTGTGGCGACATCTGGGGACATTGCCATTGTAGGATAGGGGAGGGAGGGGTTTATATAACATGGGGACATCAAATAACCGTGGGGAAATTGTCCCTCTGTCCCCACACCCTTCCGCGGCCACTGCAGACGTATCGTATGTATGGTACAGTTGGTTGGCTTGATTTTACAGACACATCAATGCAATTCTATCCTCTACAAAGTCTTACATGGAGATGAACCCTCTGCACAAAGTGAGGAAGTCTTTTTAAGCAGCAACTAATCATGCAAGTATAAAAGTTTGGCCGAATTTTGTGATAAAATCGAACCATTTAATGTGTAATTTGCCCGATTTTATCTTCCCCAGACTTTCGCACAAATGCATTAAAAATGTGCGGATTATGTACATCTTTGTAGACTTGACTCGACTCGAAACATGACAAATCAACAACTTGTAAATAATTTAACGAGTCTTTCTTACTTACCTTTACCGAGCAAATAATCATTTATCATGTAAAAGACGATATTTAAAACCGGCTCTCGCCAAAAAAAAAATACATAATTGGCGAAAAATAATAGCAAGAAAAGAAAATCCATTCATGTTCACACACCGCTGACAAGTTTTAGTTTAACTGAACTGAAATTGCAAGGAGACAGATATTTTTTGCAAGTATGTTTGGGAATGAATTGATTTCGAATTCACAGTAGCATAGGCCGATGGTGATGATGATGACCAGTGGCCGCGGAAGGGTGTGGACAGAGGGAGAATGTCCCCATGGTTGTTCGATGTCCGCATCATCTGCCCATCTTATATAAACCCCTCCCTCCCCCATCCTGCAATGTTAATGTCCCCAAATGTCCCCACACCCTTCCGCGGACACTGAAGATGACAATGGTTGTTGTTGGTGGACTGCAGGAGGAGAGGACAAGTTGAATGTGAATGTAGGTACCAACCGGTAAATAATTGTTGTGATTTGGTCAAGATTTAAATTTTGCGTGCCTACTTTCCTCTTAGTGTTGATAAGGCGTGAAATCAAATGAAATGAAAAGTAGTCCCTTCAATGGCAATGGGGGGAGGTGGTTTTTACTTATGCTTACTGTGCAATTAAATAATCACGAGATCACAAGTTTGGATTGTAATGGCGACGGACTTGAATTCGATTTTGGGAATCGAATGGAAAGTTTTTTGTCTGTCTGTGGGTTTGATTTTGATTTCCTTGAAAATTAAGAAAGAAAAGGTGTCGTCGTTTTGAGAAAGGGTGAAAGCAAATTGGGAAATATGGATTTTTGTGAAATATTTGCAAGTCGATGGTGATTTATTTGGAGATTTATGTAAATAATAAAGATTTACCAGATGAAACAGTGAGTGACAGAAATATGTAGTTCGTTTTGAGAATAAATAAATTTTTAAAAACACGTTAATTTCGAAGAATTAAAGGTTTAGTTTTTTTCGAAAAAAATAGATTTTGAATTATAATAAATCATTTCTTATAAATGACTGGAGGAGAAAAATTGCACATGAATTGTATGAAGTTGACGTCGTTTTAAGTTACTTAAAGAAAAATATATAAGTATAAAAATACTATTAGATAATCGTTTCCTATCACAAAAATTTTGCAATAAAGCTAAAAATTAAGATTTTATTTACAAAATTAATTTTAAAGAATTAACTCGATAATTCAAATTAACGGAATAAGTACATGTAATTCATCCCGTTCATTTAAACCATTTGAAGTTTTTACTAATCTCAAAACATTACAACAGGTTCTCAATCTTTGTCGACAATTGAACTCATCGTTATACAAAAGTTGAATTCACCACAGTACAACTTGTTACTAAACCTCTCTGGCTGCACCCATGACAAGTTTACAGCTCGATTTTAATGAAATTATGCGTTCAATCTTATAAAAAAACTGACTCAATGAATGACTGAAAACCAGTCAAAATCTAGATAAATTACAAACGTATCAAAGAAAAAACATTGTAACAAATCTGCCAAATTTCCGGGAGGGTTTTCGCAATTTGAAGTCCTGTTGCGCAATAAATACTGATTTCTGCTAATGAGCAAAATTTGTAGTGAGTCGTAAACATGTGCAAATATGTCGATCTGATTGCAAATTCTGAGTGACATATAAACAGTGGCCGTGGGGACATCGGGGGACGTTAACATTGAAGGATAGGGGAGGGAGGGGTTTATATAAGATGGGGAGATGATGGGGACATCGAACAACCGTGGGGACATTGTCCACACCCTTCCGCGGCCCCTGAACACGAATGACACTTGACTAACCAACTGATTACTATTCTCAGCATCTCGCATAATATCGCGTCAATCAAAGTGTCCACATGTCGATCGATCGTTTTTTATCGCTCTTCCCCCAAAAAAAGACACACATGATAATTACATTACAAACTATCTATTTCTTGATGTAATTTCCTTCCTGTCATCGAGTCTACATTTAAATTTTTGACATTTTTTATGCGCATTCTAGATTTTTTGATTCGATTGTAAATATGTATTCGTTCGTTCGTCCACTTTCTAAAATAGTTGCCTGGTCTGGTTAATCATTATTTATTGTTGTGTTATTATTATGATGCCTTTTTATTACCACACCGCACCGTCAATGGTAAATATTTCGAAGTTGTCGTTAACTAAGGAGGGGAAATAAGCATGTATTTAATAATTAAATAGCGTGGATACGCAGGTAGCAGTGGCCGCGGAAGCGTGTGGACAATGTCCCCATGGTTGTTTGATGTCCGCATCATCTGCCCATCTTATATAAACCCCTCCCTCCCCCATCCTGCAATGGCAATGTCCCCAGATGTCCACATGGCTTCCGCGGCCACTGTACGCGATGCAAGTGTCGTTCTGTGAAGAGGTTGTGGTGACGATTATCTACGTATTAAGTAGAGACGTAAGATTTCGAATTTCTAAAATTTTCCGTACCCACCACAATTTTTAATTTAATTACAAGAACTGTATAAGAAAATCATCGTAATAATGGTCAGGGTTTGATTTTCATAATTTTGGTTGATTTTTTATAGTGTCAAATGTACTTATATATTTTGTTTATGTGTGATGATGCGCAGATAAGTAGATGGGTGACCAAAAGGGTAATTTTTGGTGGCCGTGGTAGATACAGACCAAATGACGGAAAAGAAGATGTAATTACTATAATTATCTGTGGTGGTGGTGGGAGATGGTACGAATGGGTGACTGCTGATAAGCTATGACCTACAGAGAAAATAGGCATCTTGAGGAAATGCTGTGTTAATTTTATAGCGTGGTGAAGGGAAGATTGACATATGACGGAAAATTGGTTGGTGGGTGGTCAAGAATTTTGGAAAATTTTTTAAAGTTTAAAATTGTCTATTTTTAAAAATTTTGAAATTCGTTTTAATTTTCAGTATAAAAAGTAACTAATAATTTGATTTTTTTCTACGAAAATGGGTCAGAAAAGTAACATTTAAGAATTTTTTCTGGCGTAAAGTGTCCAATTTTTGAGTAAAAGATAACTTGAAACAATTTTTAAGTTAAAAAAAAAAATAATTTTCTCACTCAATAGAATCAAATATACGGTCGAAAACTAAAAATTTTATTTACCCCAAAAGTACCTAGGTACTGTAGCAAGCCGACAAATTTGGCATAAATTTGCGTACGTAACGAAACGAAACGAAACGAAACGACCAATATTATATATTAACGAGCGATAAAAATTGGTCTGAAATTCTCTTTAAGCCGTCATTATTATTATTACGGTTTAATTTACGAATTCAAATTATTTTGCATACTTACATGGGTGGAAAGAAATAGATAAAATAGCGAACGGTCTCTTTTTCAGGTTGTTGAGGCAGTAAAATGAAATCCTGTGATGACTTTGGCCTAGTAATTTTCATACAAGATTACATATGTACATCTTATCGGAGAGGAAGACAACTAGTGGTGATCTTCTGAAGAAAATGCAAATCTGGATGTTCTCGATTTTGAAGAAAAAATTATTTGTTTTTAGTCCCAGTCAGGAACTAAAAATTGAAATAGGTCTAAAAAAAAGCTGAAATTTTGCATAAAAAGAAAAATTGATAGACAATAACGTTGCCCCTTTTGTAATTTTATATGAAGTTTGACTAAATTTTGGTCGGAATTCAATCAACGATACATCAATTTCAGTTATTCACGAGATCGACGCCATTAAATTAAATGTAAAATGTTAATAGTAATAAAAATAGTTAAGATTCGTGATCTTCTATGAACTAAGGATAAGTAAGAAGATTTATAAATAAATATCGAAATATTGTGTCGCAATAAAATTTATTGTTTGTCAAATCGAATCAAAATACGTAGTGTAAAATTTTTATGTGGCAAATTATGATATTTATTTATTTTTACCGAATTACGATTCCGTCTCAACAATCGAGAAAGGGTGATGAGCCAGACTGGTTTTCGAAATTAGAAATATTAGGCTTAAATGGTTTCCAGCTTAAACTATTCATGCTACTCGTACGATTCGATTCAATTTACTTATCTGTGTAATGAATTTGTACGTAACTTTTCCAGAAAAATATTTATGATCGTTTAAATCATACAATTGGCTTGATTTTGACAATGAATTACAAATTGGCGTGAATTTGGTAATTTGCGTTTTGTGGTGGCGTAAATTGTACAGATTCAAAGGTGAGAAAAGAAGAAGGATAAAATCTTGGTCGGCTTATCTTATCGGCGTGTCTCATCTTACCACATCAGTCAGCCTTGCTCTTCATTATC